AACCATCAAATTTTAGCTAGAAACTGTATTTTTGTCGATTTTTATTGAATTTGAACTATATTTCAACGTTTTTTGATGGTTCTGAGCCACCAAACACACTTAAAGCATGCAGAATCGACTCAGAATAGGAAAAGGAGACGTTTAGGTCAATTTTATGCATTCTGGCGTTCGTAGATACAAGAAAACTGTTAAAATTCTTCAGAAACGTCACTTTTGAAGTGTTTTCTTGTACTTTTAAGCCACTCAGATACCCTACGGGCTCGGAAAGTGCAACGAAACCATCAAATTTTAGCTAGAAACTGTATTTTTGTCGATTTTTATTGAATTTGAACTATATTTCAACGTTTTTTGATGGTTCTGAGCCACCAAACACACTTAAAGCATGCAGAATCGACTCAGAATAGGAAAAGGAGACGTTTAGGTCAATTTTATGCATTCTGGCGTTCGGTGATACAAGAAAACTGTTAAAATTCTTCAGAAACGTCACTTTTGAAGTGTTTTCTTGTACTTTTAAGCCACTCAGATACCCTACGGACTCGGAAAGTCCAACGAAACCATCAAATTTTAGCTAGAAACTGTATTTTTGTCGATTTTTATTGAATTTGAACTATATTTCAACGTTTTTTGATGGTTCTGAGCCACCAAACACACTTAAAGCATGCAGAATCGACTCAGAATAGGAAAAGGAGACGTTTAGGTCAATTTTATGCATTCTGGCGTTCGTAGATACAAGAAAACTGTTAAAATTCTTCAGAAACGTCACTTTTGAAGTGTTTTCTTGTACTTTTAAGCCACTCAGATACCCTACGGGCTCGGAAAGTGCAACGAAACCATCAAATTTTAGCTAGAAACTGTATTTTTGTCGATTTTTATTGAATTTGAACTATATTTCAACGTTTTTTGATGGTTCTGAGCCACCAAACACACTTAAAGCATGCAGAATCGACTCAGAATAGGAAAAGGAGACGTTTAGGTCAGTTTTATGCATTCTGGCGTTCGTAGATACAAGAAAACTGTTAAAATTCTTCAGAAACGTCACTTTTGAAGTGTTTTCTTGTACTTTTAAGCCACTCAGATACCCTACGGGCTCGGAAAGTGCAACGAAACCATCAAATTTTAGCTAGAAACTGTATTTTTGTCGATTTTTATTGAATTTGAACTATTTTTCAACGTTTTTTGATGGTTCTGAGCCACCAAACACACTTAAAGAATGCAGAATCGACTCAGAATAGGAAAAGGAGACGTTTAGGTCAATTTTATGCATTCTGGCGTTCGTAGATACAAGAAAACTGTTAAAATTCTTCAGAAACGTCACTTTTGAAGTGTTTTCTTGTACTTTTAAGCCACTCAGATACCCTACGGGCTCGGAAAGTGCAACGAAACCATCAAATTTTAGCTAGAAACTGTATTTTTGTCGATTTTTATTGAATTTGAACTATATTTCAACGTTTTTTGATGGTTCTGAGCCACCAAACACACTTAAAGCATGCAGAATCGACTCAGAATAGGAAAAGGAGACGTTTAGGTCAATTTTATGCATTCTGGCGTTCGTAGATACAAGAAAACTGTTAAAATTCTTCAGAAACATCACTTTTGAAGTGTTTTCTTGTACTTTTAAGCCACTCAGATACCCTACGGGCTCGGAAAGTGCAACGAAACCATCAAATTTTAGCTAGAAACTGTATTTTTGTCGATTTTTATTGAATTTGAACTATATTTCAACGTTTTTTGATGGTTCTGAGCCACCAAACACACTTAAAGCATGCAGAATCGACTCAGAATAGGAAAAGGAGACGTTTAGGTCAATTTTATGCATTCTGGCGTTCGTAGATACAAGAAAACTGTTAAAATTCTTCAGAAACGTCATTTTGAAGTGTTTTCTTGTACTTTTAAGCCACTCAGATACCCTACGGGCTCGGAAAGTGCAACGAAACCATCAAATTTTAGCTAGAAACTGTATTTTTGTCGTTTTTTATTGAATTTGAACTATATTTCAACGTTTTTTGATGGTTCTGAGCCACCAAACACACTTAAAGCATGCAGAATCGACTCAGAATAGGAAAAGCAGACGTTTAGGTCAATTTTATGCATTCTGGCGTTCGTAGATACAAGAAAACTGTTAAAATTCTTCAGAAACGTCACTTTTGAAGTGTTTTCTTGTACTTTTAAACTACTCAGATACCCTACGGGCTCGGAAAGTGCAACGAAACCATCAAATTTTAGCTAGAAACTGTATTTTTGTCGATTTTTATTGAATTTGAACTATATTTCAACGTTTTTTGATGGTTCTGAGCCACCAAACACACTTAAAGCATGCAGAATCGACTCAGAATAGGAAAAGGAGACGTTTAGGTCAATTTTATGCATTCTGGCGTTCGTAGATACAAGAAAACTGTTAAAATTCTTCAGAAACGTCACTTTTGAAGTGTTTTCTTGTACTTTTAAGCCACTCAGATACCCTACGGGCTCGGAAAGTGCAACGAAACCATCAAATTTTAGCTAGAAACTGTATTTTTGTCGATTTTTATTGAATTTGAACTATATTTCAACGTTTTTTGATGGTTCTGAGCCACCAAACACACTTAAAGCATGCAGAATCGACTCAGAATAGGAAAAGGAGACGTTTAGGTCAATTTTATGCATTCTGGCGTTCGTAGATACAAGAAAACTGTTAAAATTCTTCAGAAACGTCACTTTTGAAGTGTTTTCTTGTACTTTTAAGCCACTCAGATACCCTACGGGCTCGGAAAGTGCAACGAAACCATCAAATTTTAGCTAGAAACTGTATTTTTGTCGATTTTTATTGAATTTGAACTATATTTCAACGTTTTTTGATGGTTCTGAGCCACCAAACACACTTAAAGCATGCAGAATCGACTCAGAATAGGAAAAGCAGACGTTTAGGTCAATTTTATGCATTCTGGCGTTCGTAGATACAAGAAAACTGTTAAAATTCTTCAGAAACGTCACTTTTGAAGTGTTTTCTTGTACTTTTAAGCTACTCAGATACCCTACGGGCTCGGAAAGTGCAACGAAACCATCAAATTTTAGCTAGAAACTGTATTTTTGTCGATTTTTATTGAATTTGAACTATATTTCAACGTTTTTTGATGGTTCTGAGCCACCAAACACACTTAAAGCATGCAGAATCGACTCAGAATAGGAAAAGGAGACGTTTAGGTCAATTTTATGCATTCTGGCGTTCGTAGATACAAGAAAACTGTTAAAATTCTTCAGAAACGTCACTTTTGAAGTGTTTTCTTGTACTTTTAAGCCACTCAGATACCCTACGGGCTCGGAAAGTGCAACGAAACCATCAAATTTTAGCTAGAAACTGTATTTTTGTCGATTTTTATTGAATTTGAACTACATATATTTCAACGTTTTTTGATGGTTCTGAGCCACCAAACACACTTAAAGCATGCAGAATCGACTCAGAATAGGAAAAGGAGACGTTTAGGTCAATTTTATGCATTCTGGCGTTCGGTGATACAAGAAAACTGTTAAAATTCTTCAGAAACGTCACTTTTGAAGTGTTTTCTTGTACTTTTAAGCCACTCAGATACCCTACGGACTCGGAAAGTCCAACGAAACCATCAAATTTTAGCTAGAAACTGTATTTTTGTCGATTTTTATTGAATTTGAACTATATTTCAACGTTTTTTGATGGTTCTGAGCCACCAAACACACTTAAAGCATGCAGAATCGACTCAGAATAGGAAAAGGAGACGTTTAGGTCAATTTTATGCATTCTGGCGTTCGTAGATACAAGAAAACTGTTAAAATTCTTCAGAAACGTCACTTTTGAAGTGTTTTCTTGTACTTTTAAGCCACTCAGATACCCTACGGGCTCGGAAAGTGCAACGAAACCATCAAATTTTAGCTAGAAACTGTATTTTTGTCGATTTTTATTGAATTTGAACTATATTTCAACGTTTTTTGATGGTTCTGAGCCACCAAACACACTTAAAGCATGCAGAATCGACTCAGAATAGGAAAAGGAGACGTTTAGGTCAATTTTATGCATTCTGGCGTTCGTAGATACAAGAAAACTGTTAAAATTCTTCAGAAACGTCACTTTTGAAGTGTTTTCTTGTACTTTTAAGCCACTCAGATACCCTACGGGCTCGGAAAGTGCAACGAAACCATCAAATTTTAGCTAGAAACTGTATTTTTGTCGATTTTTATTGAATTTGAACTATATTTCAACGTTTTTTGATGGTTCTGAGCCACCAAACACACTTAAAGAATGCAGAATCGACTCAGAATAGGAAAAGGAGACGTTTAGGTCAATTTTATGCATTCTGGCGTTCGTAGATACAAGAAAACTGTTAAAATTCTTCAGAAACGTCACTTTTGAAGTGTTTTCTTGTACTTTTAACACTAGAACCGCCGCACCGGTCAATTTGACCGTTTGCTAAATTTAAAGTTTTTTTTTTAGCAGAATAAATTTTTATATGATCTTGCGATCATGTGAGTTTTTCTAAATTATCTTTGGCAATGCTCTCACAAAATTTTAAAATTTTTGAAAAATTTTGAGCACTGTTTTGTGAAATTTTCCCCTAAACCGCCAGCCCGGTCAAATTGACCGGGACGTTAAAAATATATTTTGACGACATTTATTTGTCTTTTCTTTTATATGGTGAGAGCACTTGAATGAATTAAACATTTAGGTATGCACCATATATAAACAAATTTATATTTTCAACATTTCTCAAAATGGCAAACATGGCACATATCTGTACCAACTGATCACAGCTTGTTTCTGTGTGTTACTACTTGTTCGTACTTGTTTCAACATGTTTATTCGACTAAGAGCCTGTTTCTGCACGTGCACTTTTTACCACCGCACATGCGCTGACTTAATTTGGCGGATGCGTACAAAATATTTTGCAAGTTTCATCCTGCAATGTTGCGAACATATAAAAAGATCGGTTGTACTCCAAAATGGCATTCTTTCTGTTTAGTTACAGTGTGCTTACATACACAAATTGAACAGTATGTGGTCCAGTAAAGGCCTCTCGGCTGCACAAGCCTTAGCATATTTAGATGAACTGGAAAATCTTCCAGCAGAAAATTCGGAGAATGATTCTAAATCATCTAACACCGACAGTGAAAATGAAATACTTTCTCATCGTATTGCGAGTGAAATACGAAACGATAGTGATTCTGACAGTGACACAGTGTGTGATACAGAAGTTGTGGTGAATAGTGCTAGTTCCAGTGACAGCAATAAGAAGCAAATAAAAACGTCTGCCCGTTGTAAACGTCAGCAAAAAAATACAACTCAGTCACGAAAAAAACAAGGATTTTCCTTCAAACTAGCTTCAGTTTGCAAATCACGAGATAATTCTCAATGGCAAGTAATTTCTGAGAGTCAGCCTATTGCAGGCAGAAAAGTCCAACGCAATATACTTAGAGACAAGCCAGGGCCGACAGGCTATGCAAAACAAAAAGTAAATGCAGAAAATGTGACTAGTTTTTGGAGATTATTTATTGACGATTCGATTTTGAGACATATAAAACAATGCACCGAGGCCGAAGCTAGAAGACAACTAGGCAGTAATGACTGGCAACTATCCTTAGCAGATCTAGAATCCTTTATTGCCATTCTATACGCACGTGGTGCTCAGGGTTCCAGTCACCTAGAATTAGATTCCTTGTGGTCCAAAAAGTGGGGGATATCGTTTTTTGGTCACACGATGGCTAGAAACAAATTTAGAGAAATCATGCGATATCTTAGATTCGATCTCAAGTCTACAAGGAAAGAAAGATTAGAACATGACAAGTTTGCTTTAGTATCTGAAATATGGCAGAAATTTATTTATAATTGCAAAATTTGTTATGTGCCAGGAGAAAACATAACCATAGACGAACAACTTTTTCCTACAAAAGCAAGATGCCGATTTACCCAATATATGGCCAATAAACCGGACAAATTTGGCATTAAATTTTGGCTTGCTGTTGATACCAAAGCTAAATACATATTGAATGCTTTCCCATATTTAGGAAAAGACGATACGAGACCAACAGGACAACCACTTGGTGAATATGTCGTTCTAAAATTATTAGAGCCCTACACCAAGAAGGGAAGAAATGTGACAACGGACAATTTTTTTACCAGTTTGGAACTTGCAAAGAAACTAGCGAAACTAAACACCACAATTGTTGGAACAGTGAACAGGTCAAGAAAAGAAATTCCCGAAGTAATCAAGAACAGCAAAGGTGCGTTATATGAAACTGTTTTGTTCACAAGTGAAGACAATGTTTGCACATTGACAGCATATCAAGCCAAGGCAAACAAAAATGTTCTTCTTCTAAGTACACAACATCAAACAGTTTCGATTGATGCTGGAACAAAGAAAAAGCCAGAGACAATTTTATTCTATAATAGCACTAAATATGGCGTTGACGTAGTAGATCAAATGGCACGAAAATACAGCGTGAAAGCACCCTCAAGAAGATGGCCAGTACACGTTCTGTATAATATATTAGATTTTGCTGCTATCAATGCGTTCGTTATCTACAAAGACATAACTGGCAACAAAATAAAACGACGCGATTTCATTTTGCAATTGGCAGAACAACTCTCGCAAAAAGCTCATAATCAAGAAGAAGACCCGCAGGAGGGAACATCAACTCAAAAACACAACAATAATTTAGAAGTTGGATCAAAGGCATATAAGCAAAATCGTAAAAGACGAACATGCCAAGAGAAGAAATGTGAAAACAAGACTTACGAAATATGTAAGAACTGCAAAAAAAACATATGTGGAAAATGTAGCTTTAAAATAACTTACTGCAATAATTGTAATAAAATTTAAGATATATATGTTAAGGTGGCACCCACCTATATATTTTGCGTAGACTTTACTGTAAACAAATTTATATATTAATAAAAACAGTTGAAAAAACTAAGGTTTTAATCACCGGTCAATTTGACCGGGGCGGCGGTTCCAGGTATGAGGAATTCTCGGCGGTTCTAGTGTTAAGCCACTCAGATACCCTACGGGCTCGGAAAGTGCAACGAAACCATCAAATTTTAGCTAGAAACTGTATTTTTGTCGATTTTTATTGAATTTGAACTATATTTCAACGTTTTTTGATGGTTCTGAGCCACCAAACACACTTAAAGCATGCAGAATCGACTCAGAATAGGAAAAGGAGACGTTTAGGTCAATTTTATGCATTCTGGCGTTCGTAGATACAAGAAAACTGTTAAAATTCTTCAGAAACGTCACTTTTGAAGTGTTTTCTTGTACTTTTAAGCCACTCAGATACCCTACGGGCTCGGAAAGTGCAACGAAACCATCAAATTTTAGCTAGAAACTGTATTTTTGTCGATTTTTATTGAATTTGAACTATATTTCAACGTTTTTTGATGGTTCTGAGCCACCAAACACACTTAAAGCATGCAGAATCGACTCAGAATAGGAAAAGGAGACGTTTAGGTCAATTTTATGCATTCTGGCGTTCGTAGATACAAGAAAACTGTTAAAATTCTTCAGAAACGTCACTTTTGAAGTGTTTTCTTGTACTTTTAAGCCACTCAGATACCCAATGGGCTCGGAAAGTGCAACGAAACCATCAAATTTTAGCTAGAAACTGTATTTTTGTCGATTTTTATTGAATTTGAACTATATTTCAACGTTTTTTGATGGTTCTGAGCCACCAAACACACTTAAAGCATGCAGAATCGACTCAGAATAGGAAAAGGAGACGTTTAGGTCAATTTTATGCATTCTGGCGTTCGTAGATACAAGAAAATTGTTAAAATTCTTCAGAAACGTCACTTTTGAAGTGTTTTCTTGTACTTTTAAGCCACTCAGATACCCTACGGGCTCGGAAAGTGCAACGAAACCATCAAATTTTAGCTAGAAACTGTATTTTTGTCGATTTTTATTGAATTTGAACTATATTTCAACGTTTTTTGATGGTTCTGAGCCACCAAACACACTTAAAGCATGCAGAATCGACTCAGAATAGGAAAAGGAGACGTTTAGGTCAATTTTATGCATTCTGGCGTTCGTAGATACAAGAAAACTGTTAAAATTCTTCAGAAACATCACTTTTGAAGTGTTTTCTTGTACTTTTAAGCCACTCAGATAACCTACGGGCTCGGAAAGTGCAACGAAACCATCAAATTTTAGCTAGAAACTGTATTTTTGTCGATTTTTATTGAATTTGAACTATATTTCAACGTTTTTTGATGGTTCTGAGCCACCAAACACACTTAAAGCATGCAGAATCGACTCAGAATAGGAAAAGGAGACGTTTAGGTCAATTTTATGCATTCTGGCGTTCGTAGATACAAGAAAACTGTTAAAATTCTTCAGAAACGTCACTTTTGAAGCGTTTTCTTGTACTTTTAAGCCACTCAGATACCCTACGGGCTCGGAAAGTGCAACGAAACCATCAAATTTTAGCTAGAAACTGTATTTTTGTCGATTTTTATTGAATTTGAACTATATTTCAACGTTTTTTGATGGTTCTGAGCCACCAAACACACTTAAAGCATGCAGAATCGACTCAGAATAGGAAAAGGAGACGTTTAGGTCAATTTTATGCATTCTGGCGTTCGTAGATACAAGAAAACTGTTAAAATTCTTCAGAAACGTCACTTTTGAAGCGTTTTCTTGTACTTTTAAGCCACTCAGATACCCTACGGGCTCGGAAAGTGCAACGAAACCATCAAATTTTAGCTAGAAACTGTATTTTTGTCGATTTTTATTGAATTTGAACTATATTTCAACGTTTTTTGATGGTTCTGAGCCACCAAACACACTTAAAGCATGCAGAATCGACTCAGAATAGGAAAAGGAGACGTTTAGGTCAATTTTATGCATTCTGGCGTTCGTAGATACAAGAAAACTGTTAAAATTCTTCAGAAACGTCACTTTTGAAGCGTTTTCTTGTACTTTTAAGCCACTCAGATACCCTACGGGCTCGGAAAGTGCAACGAAACCATCAAATTTTAGCTAGAAACTGTATTTTTGTCGATTTTTATTGAATTTGAACTATATTTCAACGTTTTTTGATGGTTCTGAGCCACCAAACACACTTAAAGCATGCAGAATCGACTCAGAATAGGAAAAGGAGACGTTTAGGTCAATTTTATGCATTCTGGCGTTCGTAGATACAAGAAAACTTTTAAAATTCTTCAGAAACGTCACTTTTGAAGTGTTTTCTTGTACTTTTAAGCCACTCAGATACCCAACGGGCTCGGAAAGTGCAACGAAACCATCAAATTTTAGCTAGAAACTGTATTTTTGTCGATTTTTATTGAATTTGAACTATATTTCAACGTTTTTTGATGGTTCTGAGCCACCAAACACACTTAAAGCATGCAGAATCGACTCAGAATAGGAAAAGGAGACGTTTAGGTCAATTTTATGCATTCTGGCGTTCGTAGATACAAAAAAACTGTTAAAATTCTTCAGAAACGTCACTTTTGAAGTGTTTTCTTGTACTTTTAAGCCACTCAGATACCCTACGGGCTCGGAAAATGCAACGAAACCATCAAATTTTAGCTAGAAACTGTATTTTTGTCGATTTTTATTGAATTTGAACTATATTTCAACGTTTTTTGATGGTTCTGAGCCACCAAACACACTTAAAGCATGCAGAATCGACTCAGAATAGGAAAAGGAGACGTTTAGGTCAATTTTATGCATTCTGGCGTTCGTAGATACAAGAAAACTGTTAAAATTCTTCAGAAACGTCACTTTTGAAGTGTTTTCTTGTACTTTTAAGCCACTCAGATACCCTACGGGCTCGGAAAGTGCAACGAAACCATCAAATTTTAGCTAGAAACTGTATTTTTGTCGATTTTTATTGAATTTGAACTATATTTCAACGTTTTTTGATGGTTCTGAGCCACCAAGCACACTTAAAGCATGCAGAATCGACTCAGAATAGGAAAAGGAGACGTTTAGGTCAATTTTATGCATTCTGGCGTTCGTAGATACAAGAAAACTGTTAAAATTCTTCAGAAACGTCACTTTTGAAGTGTTTTCATGTACTTTTAAGCCACTCAGATACCCTACGGGCTCGGAAAGTGCAACGAAACCATCAAATTTTAGCTAGAAACTGTATTTTTGTCGATTTTTATTGAATTTGAACTATATTTCAACGTTTTTTGATGGTTCTGAGCCACCAAACACACTTAAAGCATGCAGAATCGACTCAGAATAGGAAAAGGAGACGTTTAGGTCAATTTTATGCATTCTGGCGTTCGTAGATACAAGAAAACTGTTAAAATTCTTCAGAAACGTCACTTTTGAAGTGTTTTCTTGTACTTTTAAGCCACTCAGATACCCTACGGGCTCGGAAAGTGCAACGAAACCATCAAATTTTAGCTAGAAACTGTATTTTTGTCGATTTTTATTGAATTTGAACTATATTTCAACGTTTTTTGATGGTTCTGAGCCACCAAACACACTTAAAGCATGCAGAATCGACTCAGAATAGGAAAAGGAGACGTTTAGGTCAATTTTATGCATTCTGGCGTTCGTAGATACAAGAAAACTGTTAAAATTCTTCAGAAACGTCACTTTTGAAGTGTTTTCTTGTACTTTTAAGCCACTCAGATACCCTACGGGCTCGGAAAATGCAACGAAACCATCAAATTTTAGCTAGAAACTGTATTTTTGTCGATTTTTATTGAATTTGAACTATATTTCAACGTTTTTTGATGGTTCTGAGCCACCAAACACACTTAAAGCATGCAGAATCGACTCAGAATAGGAAAAGGAGACGTTTAGGTCAATTTTATGCATTCTGGCGTCCGTAGATACAAGAAAACTGTTAAAATTCTTCAGAAACGTCACTTTTGAAGTGTTTTCTTGTACTTTTAAGCCACTCAGATACCCTACGGGCTCGGAAAGTGCAACGAAACCATCAAATTTTAGCTAGAAACTGTATTTTTGTCGATTTTTATTGAATTTGAACTATATTTCAACGTTTTTTGATGGTTCTGAGCCACCAAGCACACTTAAAGCATGCAGAATCGACTCAGAATAGGAAAAGGAGACGTTTAGGTCAATTTTATGCATTCTGGCGTTCGTAGATACAAGAAAACTGTTAAAATTCTTCAGAAACGTCACTTTTGAAGTGTTTTCATGTACTTTTAAGCCACTCAGATACCCTACGGGCTCGGAAAGTGCAACGAAACCATCAAATTTTAGCTAGAAACTGTATTTTTGTCAATTTTTATTGAATTTGAACTATATTTCAACGTTTTTTGATGGTTCTGAGCCACCAAACACACTTAAAGCATGCAGAATCGACTCAGAATAGGAAAAGGAGACGTTTAGGTCAATTTTATGCATTCTGGCGTTCGTAGATACAAGAAAACTGTTAAAATTCTTCAGAAACGTCACTTTTGAAGTGTTTTCTTGTACTTTTAAGCCACTCAGATACCCTATGGGCTCGGAAAGTGCAACGAAACCATCAAATTTTAGCTAGAAACTGTATTTTTGTCGATTTTTATTGAATTTGAACTATATTTCAACGTTTTTTGATGGTTCTGAGCCACCAAACACACTTAAAGCATGCAGAATCGACTCAGAATAGGAAAAGGAGACGTTTAGGTCAATTTTATGCATTCTGGCGTTCGTAGATACAAGAAAACTGTTAAAATTCTTCAGAAACGTCACTTTTGAAGTGTTTTCTTGTACTTTTAAGCCACTCAGATACCCTACGGGCTCGGAAAGTGCAACGAAACCATCAAATTTTAGCTAGAAACT